AACATCCCCACTTTATTAATATAGTCAGATGTCTATTTTTTCCACTTTATATTTGCTACGTAGATAATTGTTGAAACTTGGATAATATTTTCTGTAAAGTTTCAGCTGTTCTCTGGCTCCAGTGTTGCAGGTCTTGAAGATACTGATGCTAGTGCATCTTATGAATCTTTATTTGACTCTGAACAGTCACAATCTTCAGAAAGCTCCTCTCCTTGTAGTTGTGAAGACGAAGTTGCTCCTGGAGCATTTGCTGAGCTGCCTGATATTTTGCACCAACCACCGCAGTTCTTGTTTTATAATTTAGATACATGTAATGCTAGAGGACATACGTTGCAGAAAGCTGAAACTGAAAATCCACGTACTTTTGATTACTATTTCTGTAAAAAATGTGAAACTACGGATACCATCAATCCACTTTTTGACCACTCTCAGGAGAATGGGAATCAAGATCAAGTGAGAGAAAAGATAAGCGAGATAAATATTACTTTTAAATCTGATGCAACTGGATATGTTAAATTATCAGAGGCTATGGATGATGGGAATCTCTCTGGTACATGCTGGCCACTAGGAGCATTATCAAAGAATCCTTTCCATGACGATATGAAGCACCAGGTTTTTAAGCAGCATCGGTTCCCTGGATCTTGTCAGCAGAAGGCGAATGGGAGGATGGAAGCCTTGGAAGAGGGAAAAACAGATAGGAATCAAATGTTATTCAGTTCTGAGTTAGATGCAACTGGAAAGACCGAAATGATTAAAGAGAAAGTTGAAACTCTTTCTTTGCACATTCAGCAATCATGGAATTCATGTGATAGCTATGATCTTAGCATTAACCCTACATTAGCTAAAACTGCTTGGCTTCGTACAGTGCGTAACGTAAGAGACAAAGGTGTAATCAGTGCTGGATCTTGCTTTCCATACTTTGATTTCTCATCAGTTTCAGATCCTTGTAGGGGTTATTCGGAGAGTCTGATTGCCAGTCAAGGCCATGGATCTCAAGTTAAAGCTCCTAAACTTGTGTCTTCTGCTTCTCTTGCTGTAGAAGTAAATGGAAATCCTGATGATAGTGCCCGAGATACCGTAACAGGTCAACCAGTTCAGAGTCCTGGTTGTTCATTTAGACAAACAAATGAACTATTACATGTCCTTCCACCAAGTGCTTCTGGTGGATCAAGTTGGGAGCGATTATTGAATTACCCTGGCGAAGCAAGCTCATTTTGCAATGAAGATGAATCGTCTGATTTGGCGGAAACTTTTGAGACCCCACTTGATGTAATAGTTGACAAATGCATACTACAAGAAGTCTTGATTCAGTATCCTTCAATTGCTTTGTTATTTGTGAGAACATAGTTATTCAGCATCTTTTCAATGCGGGTTTTATCCTAAGAAACATGAATATGGCTCACTTCACTACTACACTAGAATTTCTTAAAGAGCAGAACACATGGGCATGATTACATGAGAATATAATATATATCAATAAAGTGCATATATAGATACATAACAGTTTTCCATGAATCCAGAGTTCAGATATAATTTTCAGATATAATGTATAATGATTATGTACTAAAAATTTTAGCCTATCAAATAATTTCATGACTTTGCAGAGCATATTTTTTCTTGTTTGAGCATCATGTTTATCAAATGAACCAAATCTTAAGCTGCATATTTTTGTAATCTCATTTGTTCCAAAATTGAATGTTGACACCTATATTAGTTTTTTCTTGTTGCCTATATGCTGTTATTTCTGAGATAAAAGTATAAGGTATATGTGTGTGACCAAGTTTAAGAAACTTTTAATTTTTTTTAGTTGGCCATCACTGTATGTGATTTCCTTCACTCCACCAGATATAAATATGTCAGCAACTTTGCCATCAAGTTATTGAAAGAAGGTTTTGATCTGCACAATCATCTAGTGGCATTGCGGCGCTACCATTTCATGGAACAAGCAGACTGGGCAGATTCATTCATTTTGTCTCTTCGTGGTCAAGTAATCCCCTAATTTCCATGATTACTGCAAACCCTTTTCTTACTATGACTGCCATTTGATTGGTAGGCATGCGGTCATCTTTTTTGTTGACTTGTCTTTTTTCCCCTCCTAGAAATGGTCTATTATTGAACCTGGAGAGAAGATAGCCAAAATTCAAGGGCTCCTTGATTTAGCACTGCAGAGGTCTTCTTGTGGGAATGATCCATATAAAGAAAGATTATTTGTAAAAGCAAATGGACAACACATGATTTCTCAGCAAAATTCTGCAATTAGTAGTGATATACTTCTGATACAATATCTTATTTCAGTTTAAATTTCCAATTAGATATATCTATTGAAGTTTGTAACCATTTATGTTGTTTTTTTAATTTATTATATAATAGGTCTCCATGCCTTCGATTTTATGGTGTTGGGTTTCAGAGTGGATTGGCCTGTTAATATCATTATAACTCAGGATGCATTGAAAACATATGCTGAGATTTTCAGTTACCTTGTTCAAGTCAGGCTTGCTTTTATTTCCTTGACCGATGTGTGGCACTGGCTAAAGGTATTCTTCTTGTAGTACTTGTATTCTCTGTGAACAAGTTTTTATGACTGATATCCACTGCCGTCCTCAATTTCTGGAATGTATATACTTTTTGCTTATGGTACGGTATCAGTCATGCTTCTATAAATCATTTGATTAATATCATACTCTGTGCTGAGCTCAAGTTAGTTATGTATGCTAGAGCTTTCTAATATTACCTGGATGTGATTCTATATCAATATGTGCACAGGAGAATTTTTTGGAAGGAATTCACTTCTTCTTCTTTGGTGCTAACAAAATGTCTAACCTAATCTACTGTGCGAAATTATACACAAAACAGCCATGCAACTTAGATTGAATGCCTCCATCTTCCTATTACTAAGCATGATCAGCATGCCAATTGCCAAAAATTGAATATAGAGAAGATCTTGTGAATATTGCTTGCCTAATTTTCTGCTTAATTGTTCTCCATCAGTTGTTTCAACGGTATGCATTAGACTTCCTACGTCATAGAATATAATCCTTGCTCATTTTTTCAGCTTGATGAAGTGTACTATAGCAAGAATTAGCATGTTATGCACTAGATCCTTGGAGAATCTATTATTTGACTTTGTTAACATCTTTACATGAGATCGAGTTTATAAAGTGCATCACTTGTTTTAATCACTTCCATTCTCAAAACTAGAGCTAATGTGAGCAAAAATTTTGGTCTCAACTGTAATACAATGCTTTTCACATGCTTTCACATGCTCAGTGAGCCATCAAGACAAGTGAAATCGATATGTTATGATTTCAATAACTTCAGATAAAACTACATTCTTATCATTCTGCTCTTAAAATCAAAACTTCTAACTTCTAGGTTAAATTTCTTTCACCATTTTCTTGGAGTTTGCTTAAGTCTTTCAACCATTTATTAGTTTGTCAAACTAATCACTTTCATCATGTTCTTTTTTACTATCTGATTTCATATTTAGATCCTTCACTTTCATTCTCACTAGATGTTGCAATTATTCACCTTATGAAACATGTGCAGTTTTGACTGGTGGAAAAATATGATTTATGGCCATAAATTGGCATGCTAATTTGCATTTTTTATATTCTCTTCTAGAGAAGGCCTGAATTTTTTTTAATGAATAGCAACTTCCAGGAAATGAATATTATTAACTGGCAGATCTGTTGATGTCCTCATAATCATTATCTTTTATAATCTTTCCTGTTGTTCATATACTTTTTTCACAGTTAAGTTTCAGGTGTAGATATAGCTTCTTGTAGTCTTTAGGATCACCTTCAGTAAGAGTATAAACTTTTTCTAGTCCAAACTCCCCCATTCTAAGTTCTGGTTTTATATTAGTTTGATGTAGACTTCTAACCTTACAATTCTGACTGATGTCTATGTTAGTCTTGTTAGATTCATTGGGGCACTACAAATTGACTATTGTTTCACTGCTTTACCCTATTCCTTTTCTTTTACCTCTAGGCAATAGTCATTTTATATGATCAGAATAATCAGTTGCCTCAGCTTGCAGCACCTTTACTTCTTGTTGTTAAACAGGCTTCTAAGGTTTTAGCATATTGTTACACAATATACATTCACTTCCTTTACCATGCATTATGTGTGCGATTGCAAAGGACCTTAAGCATAGCTATTTAACTTAAGCAAATAAGATCAGGCTTCCTATTCTTGAAAATGTATACGATGTTTCATCTTTGATTGTTATGTTAACTCTATTACTCATAATGAATATCTGCAGGCTGATAGTTATTCAACTCATCATAGTCAAAGTACAGGATACCGCAAGATGGACTTGACGATGATAATGAAAATGAGGTTTGTTCAAGAGTTCTCCTTGCTTTTAACTTTAAGTTCCGTGAAGGCTTTTCTTTTTCTTTGATTGAGCATTTTCGCCCTTGCATCACTGAGTGCTCCCTATGATTAAGCATGATGAATGTAATCCCCTTGGAGATCTTTGAATTTCCACAAAAATGACATTCTTTATTTTTTTTGGCAGTAATGAAGTTTGCCTGTTGTGGAACCATTTGGGTTATTTTTCTGTTCATAGATGATTTAAAATTTCTACGGCTCAGACCACTTGATAAGTCCATTACTCCTTGTCACTTTACTACTTTTCACTCCAGTGTTTGATATCTCAGTATCGATATCATTGTTAGTCATGTTGGATGACGATTTAAGGTATTGGTTTCAGAAATTTTAAGATTTTTCACTCCGAAGTACTGGATGTAGGTGTTGACAGTTTGTGTCATTTACAGGCTTTCTACATTGAACCTTTTTTTTCCCCAATATAACATTATCAACAAGTTTTGATACTTTAGGATTCCAAAATTGGGAATAGAATTGCTTGGAAGTTGTTTGCATAATTTCTGGTTTTCATACGCTAGAAAAACTATATTTTATTTTAATCACTATGAGCTTGAACTGAGTCCATGTCTGGGAACATCTTATATTGATATCTTGCTGGATCTTTATGGTTTTCTCATTCATTAAAATGAAGTTTAGATGTAGAAACTATCTACCTTACATTTTTCATATATCATTTTAGGCAACAAATAAATCACTTTGTGCGTACATTGGAAGAGTATGTGCATTCCCATCTGTCAGATGTATCATGGTGTAAACTCCAGCATTCCCTTCAGAATCGGGTATGAAATCAAATCACTTTCCGCATTTACTGCAACACTACTTATAGTTGGTTGTGTACTTGGTTCTTTTTTTATTATATATATCACTATAAAGAGTCATGGACTAATTATATGAGAAGGATTTATTGCATTATTGTTGTGGGATATGCAAGGTTGTATATACCTCTCTTTAGAAAGTACCAGAGAGTTGTCCACTGAAAATAAGCATGCAATTGCACTTTACTCATCTTCAATTTATGTTTTTATGCATTTATGTACTTATTATGATAAATAGATTTTTGTTGCATAACCTCACTCCTGGTACTTGTAAAGTTCCTGATTTCCATCAGGCTTTTTTTATTTTTTATTTTTATTTTGGCATGCTTCTCAGTAGGATAACCAAATGTTCAACCTGGTGACTAGTGTAGTCTTATAATTAGAGGGATCCCAAGGGGTTGGAAATTCGTACTGCAAGTGATGCTGTGATCAAGGCTCTTACATAAAAAGTTGAAGAGGCTATGAATTTGATGAGTATAACAATATTTAGGAGAATCTCCTTTTTCAGTACTTTGGTTAAGAGATGCTTTTTAAGAAGACTGTTTTTGATTCAGTATCAAATGACTGTTTCACAATTACCATGGCCAAATGCAAGCTTTAGGAATAAACAGTGCAGGACGTGGTTAACAGGAAAACATAGAATTCGTTTTTTCTTGGTCCAAATTTTTGGTCCATGATCCATTAGCCTAAGCTTTTGAAGAGTTTGTCCATGTTACATTTCATTTGGTCCTAATAGTGTGCTTATTTAGTCCGTGATACATTTCATCATCTAGACAAAGTTCCATGTGGTCCTAATAGTATGGTCAGTTATCATCAGTTTATTCTTCCATTAAAGCAAGTCATGTTTAGCTGGAGACTTTTCCACGTCGCTTAAAATAATGAGGGGGTTATTACGTTTACTTGAATTGCCAGACCACAACCCACCAGCTTAAGCTTAAAGTGGTTGTCTGCTAGAAGTGAATCTCACATGATCAGCGTGTCGTGTTGTTAAGACATGCTGTTGTTGCTTAAAACATTTTGAACAATAAACTCAGGCTGTATGGAGCTTCTATCTGGAGGAGAGAACAAAATATATGCAACAAGCTTTCAGCAGTTAACAAATGATCACTGGCCCCTCCCAGAACTGTTCATCATATCTTCCAAATTGAAGTGCAACAAGTAACAAACAATGGTTTTATCGATACTCTTGCGAGTAGGTTCCTACAGAAGCTGTAACACCACACCTAGTTATTTCCCCATAAAATAGCACATTGTGACTTTGCATGAATAGCTAGAAGACATATGACCCAAATTGATACTGCAAGAAAATTTTTATTATAGCCATCATTATTACTTATATTATAACCTAATATACAACTAAGGTTGATATACAACTAAGTATCCTTTTATTATAAAAAATGGTGCAACCCAAAATTCCAAATTCACTACCAAATTTTTTTGTTGAGCTTTGGGCTTTGGCTGAAAATGCTTGGGTTCAAGATTTGGGCTCAAGTTTAGGGGGGATGCTAAAAATTAAAGTATTTTGACAAACATGGACCCAATATTTACACAAATTCTATAGAAATTATATGTGGGCTTTGGGCCAAATGCTAAAATATCTAGAGGAGAGAATGCTTACTAACAGCTCACCAAGTAGAATTTTTCTTTAACATGTGGTGCATATGGTAGGACTCGTTAAGGGAGCCATCATGATAAGGATAAACATCTACTGTGCTACCAAGGTAAAAGAATAAATAAAAAATATATAAATATCAACCAAGACCATGACTATATATAGGGGGTCTCGGTTTGGGCTACGTACTGTAACAAAAAAAAAACATATCCATATAGAAGTGAGGCTCTATTAGAGGAGGTACAAGAAACACAAAGAGGGTGAGGTTACCCAATATATCATGTTTATGAAATATGCAACGTTTCCCTTCCTTTCATTTCTTGTCATTAACTTGTTATGATGATAGTTAAGCAAGCTCTTCTATTATACATTTTCCTCCTTCAGTGCTTTGTCCTTAGTTCATTCTATCTATAAGATAATAGTCAAGTGAGATTATCTAGTATAATATACTTTTTCTATGCAAAAGTTGCTTTTTCTTGTAGTTATTTGGTAATTGTGCATTTGTACGTTACATTTTTAAATGCACGTTTTCTTTTCTGTTAAAACATGCCATGCTTCAAACTTTTGAAATCAACCATGAAAATGACAGTTATGTGCAATTTACTCCTAAGAAGAATTATTCTATTGGTTTCACTTTGGATACGAGGAACTAAAGTAATAAGTCTTTGATCTTAAATGGATTTTTTGTAAATAAACATAAAATATAAAGGGCCTGTTAATCACTTAGTCTATATATATATATATATACTGTTAATCACTTAGTCTATATATATATATATATATATATATATATAGAGAGAGAGAGAGAGATATGGGTATGCTTGGTACCAAGCACAAAAAGTTGTGTTTGGTAGTGAGGTGTCACATCTCCCTCCACTTATTCAAATGTGGGACCACATTCACATGGGTAATGAGTGGAAAAGTGGTTCACATTGCATAGTTTCTATTTTTGAGTCTCACACTCTAATTTTAGATCCCGTGTAATAACTCTAATTTTGGGTTGTGACAGAAGCACCAAGTAGTCCTATTATCGTACTCGTGCAAAAGGATTTGAGTTTGCATTTGTTAGATCTAATGGATTTCTCCTTTTCTTACCACAACATTAACAGCATAGCAAATACTTGGTAGCCACTTTAGATGCTTCAATATTGTTTTTTATCCACATAACTGTGATGCATTTACATCCTTTCAGTCAACCAACTTGACAATTTTTAATCATTTAGTATTTAAGAAAGATTTTCTTTATATTTGATGTCTGTGTCAGCAAAAACTTTCTCATTGCAATATTGTTCTTGATATTTTGCTACTTAGGTTAAAAATCTAGCTTCCTGATTTTGATTGATTTAATTTTGATGTTTGCATAGGTCAAAGACATGTTGGACTTGGAAACAGTACACAAGTCATATCTTGCTGATGCCTTACATATGTGAGTCTAAAGTTACAAGATCTGAGATTTACTCTAATTTACTTCTTGATGCTTTTCTTTGTGACAATCATTCCATCAACTTATATCTGATTATAGTAATATCTCAGTTTCCAGCAAGTAACAATACATTTATTTCATTTATTTTCTATGCTTCTGTTCTGCAATGGCTGCCTGCTATATCTTTTGTGATTTTTTGCCAATTAAAACTTTACACTAATTTATAAAGGAAATAGTGGGATAGGTAAATTGTTAAAGGAGGGGGAACCTTCATACAGTCTCATTAATCATTAAAGAGTCAAGGGTACATAAGTAATTCCAAACCTGCTGCAGTAGCATTTAATGCATACACAGAAAACCTTAAGCAAGTATGTTCCTTTTGAACTTAAAAAATATAGAGAGAGAGCAATACAACAAAAGTTTTGCGATTAGGCCAATAGCCTTTCTAAATAGAATTAATTTGTTCTAACAGAAATTTAAAAAAATATCTAAAAGGAACAACCTAAAATATAACATCCTTTCAGTTAGTTAAACCTTAAAGTGGGAAAATTTTATGCAATATAGACTTAATTATTATGTTATAAATATCCAGAATTATAGGTTCTGTCGATCAAAAGTTCAAATATTAAATCTCTTCACTAAATTTTTATGTGTCAGCATATTTAAATATATTATCATATACTTTCTTAAACAGGCAAATAAGAAAAATTCTAAATATTATATTTGTTAAAACTAAGAAATGGTTTGGTGAAAGTAAACTATGTAAACTCTTTGTAGTAGTACTCTACTGGCTAAGTAGGTAATGGCATTGGAGATGAACAATCATTACATGGTCACCCACCAAAGTTGATGTATGGTGTTGATCTTAATGGTGATATCGGTGATGATAGAGGTAATGGTGCTGGTGCAATAGCAGCAAAAGCAGTAGTACTAACGACAACAATAATGATGGTAGAAACATAACAGCAACACTAAAGGTACTGACGGTAAAGGAGGTGGTACCAATAACAATGCTTATGATGGTGGTGGTAGCGTCAGTAACAATATGTGTAGTCAATGAGGTACCTAGTCTATTGAAAGAGTAGAAATTGTCATAGGTGATAATTTTGCAAGAACATGAAAATGGGAGGAGGAATCCACTTTTGATGGTTTCCTCCCATTTCCTAAAAGCAAAATAGAAAAAGAAAAAAAGAACAAAGAAAAACACCATGAATGGGTTTCCTAAAATTTAGGTCACATCGCCCAGTAAGAATTTAACACATCATTCTTGTCCTTGATTTCAAGGTGAGACGCAAACCAAAAAAGGAAAATATTATAGGAAACAGATTTCTTATAATACTTTTCCTTGTTTTTCCCCCAGCCAAACAGCCCCTGTGGGAGACAACAGGAGAGGTGTTGCGCTGTCGGTGGATGTGTATTATCTTATAAAATAATATTGTTCTCAACCTGTGTGACCTTTGTTATTTTCTTGACGGAATGAATGATGACATGGTACTTTCTCCTTTTTATATCTATGTTTCATGACTAATTTGTTTCTACCTCATCCTGATACAAGCATTTAATTATCCTGATGTTATATTTGACTTGCTATTTAAGTTTGCTAAGCCAACTCTAATTACTCGAGCTGTAAGACTGCATCACATGTAATTAGTGGTAGCTTGTGTGTTCTAATCAGTGTTTGCTTCTTCTTTTTTTCCTTCTCCCCTTTCAGATGTTTCTTATCTGCTGAGACAAAACCAATAAGTATCATAATCAAGAACATCTTGCAATCTGCATTGGATTTCCGGATGTGCTTCCCTGGCAGCTCTTCCATGGATGCTGAATCTGACGGCAAAGGTCCTTTGGACTTGTGTCGTCAGATAAACTTTGCTCAGGTGATTTGCAATTTCTGTTGTGTCTGTACTTGGTAATATGTCATGTCTACTAGAACATGTAAGTTAACAATGTGCACGTGTCATGGTCACATAGGGCTGATGGTTGCAAGTTGTGTCTGGGTGTCATGAAAACAGGGCATGTAGTTGTGCATTAGGACAGCCTGTTGAGCCTTTGAGTAGTTTTTTGAATTTGAATGCCCCTCCTCGTAATTCGATGCCATAAGTTGCAATATTCCTCTAATTTTAGTAGTATTGAGCTTAACATACCAAGTAAACTAACCGGTTGAAGTTGTCAGTGTTATATTTTATGTTTGAGAACCTTTTATTGGTATGTTTAACTTGAAAATGTTCCCAATAATTTTTATGGCTTGAAAAGGAATGCACCTAAATGATGTTTTCTTTTTTGCATGGGGGCAGTCATTCCAACGAAGGGACCTAAATAACAACAGTCAAGTCTAATTGCTGTATTATCTAGGACCTAGGATACTGAACCTATAGTACTCTAGGCTCTTTCAATTGTGAATGAAGGACAATTGATCATTGTGTAAACTAAATCTTTTTTAATTGCAAGCCATCTATAGTTCCTCTTATTTCTTTCTGTTTTCCTCACTTTGGTCAAGCATTCATGTTTCTCATGCCTCGTTTATGTTGGATGCTGCAGGTTTTTTTAATAAAAACTACATTTGAGAGGAACATCAAAGATTTGTACGTCTTGTATTTGAAGTCTCCAAAGCATGATGAATTTAGTCTTTGTCGTTTCTGGAGCTACCTCAATTACAATGACTACTACTCTGCCACGATTGCTAAAGAAATGGGTTTCTTATATCGTTAAGTCATTTTTGGAAAGGAGTTGTTACGGAGGCTTCACCTATAGTTGAAAAAGTTCCATAAGACATTACTAAAAGAACATGCGGTTTCTGGGTCTTTGATGCAGTGACAAGGCAAAAGATTGTAAAATCAAGAGCATGCTGGTTGGAGTTTAATGCAAGGATTAACCCTTTCTTCCCACTGGTACCAGTTTGGATGTAGGACACTTTGGGGGCCCGATACATTTTGAGTCCATGTTGAGTTCATTTTGGGCAGGTGCTGGATCAGTGATCATTTCGTGTGCATCAAGATTCTGCAATGACTACTGCAGCACTACTAGGAACAGATTTATTAAAATGTTTCTCATTTTCTGAAGTATATCAATTTTGATGGTACAGATAGAGCTCCACCTCTTCAGAACCACTTACGCCTTGTCAGGTAAAGTAATTTCATTGGAGGTTTCTAAATTGAGCGATTTTCGAGTGGAAGGGAGATGGAATATGTGCGCGCATTTCATATTGTAAAATATTGTAATACATGTAGGCATAAGTTATTAGTTGGTTTAATTCACTTGTGCTCTTCCTGAAGTTTGACAGAACTGATTTCGTTAACAGAGAGGATGGAGAAAGCATACGTGTAAACTTTTTTTTTCCCTCCAACTACGGACTGTATTTGGGTGCTGATTGATGATAAAGAAAGAAGGCATCTGCTTGTTCAGTGTAATTTTTGGTTGTTCAATGTAATTTAAAGATCTAGTATTGTGGAGATGCCATCTACGTATAATGATATTTTATCGTGACAGCTAAATTGCATAAGCAGCTACTGATATTTTTTATGCTTCAACTTGATGTTACTTGGTATTATCTTCAGCTGAGTTCGGATTCATTATTCTCTTCTTGTAAGAACCTATTATTCTCTTAGTTGTGTTCAATTAAGTCGTAAACCATTAGGTTATCACGTATAGAAGAGGGCTCAATTTTCCGTGGACTAAGTATGCATTCGTACAAGAGAGAGAAGACGCTTTCCGGTTCTCAAGAGGCTTTTCTTTCAAATCTTATTGAATACTTTCTCAAATTTTTATAACAGATGATATAATATTAGTGGGGAAAATAACTGCAGTGGCGGATGATTTAATTACAGAGATTGGACAAACTTTGGGGGAGGAGCATATTCTCTTACTTCTACCAAAAAAAATATATATATAAAAGCATATACCCTTTCTTGGTTTTATTCTTTTCTATATTCTGAAGTTCTGCCGTTGTCTTGTTCCATGCTTTGCGAGGTTCGGTAGAAATCTGTTGTTAGATCTTTTAGATTTTAGGATGTGATGTATCCAGTCTAGCAGCCTCAATTTTTTATACTCTAATGGTCCACATTCCTTTATCAAATTTGGAACTTAACTATCAAATTACATTAATAGGCACGCATTGATATTTAAATTCAAGAAGGGAGAAAAAAAAAACCACGCCTCGTGAATGTGTTATAGAATAATCACAGAAGAGACTTTTTGACGATTGCAACGTGTTAACACGCTATATGACCGTAATTTTAGTTGAATGCTTTTGGATTTTATTGTTATTAATAAACTGATCCGCTTCGGCTTTATTTTTCTTTCTGATTTGTTTTGAACTAATCCGTGTTTTGCTATAAGTAATTAAATTGACGAAAAGAAATGAGTATAAAGATATGGTTATTATTACATATAAAACACAAAAATTTGATGCAGATAATAAGCTGAAAATAGATTGCAGTTTAGAGATAAAAAAAAAATGAGAAAACTAGCACTCAACTATTGGTAATAAATATCCTGATTTTAAATGAATAATCCTATTATGTATTTACCTCTTTCCGCACTAATCCCTTTTTGTTCGTTGAGCAATTTTTTTTAAGTTTAACAAACTCAAATTGATGGTTGAACTCCTCTTAGTTTTAATAAAAATACAAGTGATTTGTGAGCTGACCATTCGAAGGTAAGTGATTGTATTATATTAATGCCCCCAAAGCTTCTAAATTTAGCGTTACACATGTGGTGTTGATATATGCTTGAGAATCCAAATGAAGGGTACGCTGGGAATGCAAGTCAGTCTCTATAGAGCGGTTGTGAAGTTGAAGGTTTTCGTCATGTGGTTTTTGCGAATGCACCCCTAACACTTTCTATTTGCAAATTTACCTTTCAAATATTGGTGTTTGCGAAATTATCCCACAAAACTTGCTTGTTAGGTCTTTCTGCATCACATATAATTAAGTGAGAGGGGTAGAAAAAATCAATGTGAAAGAATTATGGGGTAATTTTGCAAATACAGAAAATGTAAAGGGTGTAGATGCAAAAAAACAGTTTGGTGTATTTTGAGTGTCCCTTAATTAGAGGGGTGTTTATGGAAGGTTGTGATGAAATTCAGTAATAGGCGGTTGAGGGAACCACGTTCCACGTGAGGAGTTTGCTACGGAACTTTTGTCTTTGCTAGCAAAAAGATTTGGACTTGAAATGAAATGAGATAGAAGAAAAACTATGAGTGTCCAATATGCATTGCTGATGTTATGATTTTTATTTGTGTGGATGCAGAGTAGAGTATATTTGTGCGGAAGGTTATGATCGATCACGTATGAGATTTTTAATCCCAAATTGATGGAAACATAATAATAAATCACAAAGAATCATTTGCCTATTAAAAAAAAAGAGAACATTCAATATAGATTGTCATCACTGGATCATCATCGTCATATCACAATATTATGGAGAATGATAAGTACACTATAATAATTGCACTATTCTTGTACTCCTAGACACAAAGAAATAAGGTCTATGAGAACTTATAGTTTCTATTTACGCTTTATACAAGAAAAGATCTTACTTTTTTGTGTGTATAGAAACACAAGAATGATATAACTCTTATGTACAATTTTCACTATTCCAATAATATTTGTCACTCCCTTTAGTTTCATCCTATATTAGCTTAACAATAAATTAGTTGTTTTATAGTAAATAGATCATATCTAAATTTATATTTAGGAGAAATTTTGAAAACAGCCCAATTTTCAATTTTAATAGGCAAAATCGACCTAAACTGGAAAATATTAGCAAAACCGACCCTTTTCAGAAGAAAAGGGTCGGTTTTGCAGCGGAGCGTCATTTACGAAGTGCACGGGACTGCTAGTCCCGTGCACTTGGTCTTTAAGCAGCGCCTGGCCTCTCTGCTTAAAAGTCGGGACTGCTAGTCCCGACTTTTAAGCAGAGAGGCCAGCCGCTGCTCAAGACCAAGTGCACGGGACTAGCAGTCCCGTGCACTTCGTAAAAGTCGGTCCGCTACAAAACCGACTTTTTTCAGAAGAAAAGGGTCGGTTTTGCTAATATTTTCCAATTTAGGTCGATTTTGCCTATTAAAATTGAAAAATGGGCTGTTTTAAAAATTTCTCCTAGATTTTACTTCTAAGATCATCTTTTGACCCGTATCATTTTGGTGATAAAATTCACATGAATACCATCCCAATATATCTACTTAAAGGTGATCGGACGGTTTCTCTGAAAAAGGAAATTGTGATACTTTTCTAGTTAAGACTTATTTAGATAAAACCCAAATTATGCAATGTGAAGAGTTCAGCAAAAATGAGTCCTAAACTACTAGGACTCCTAAGTAAACTCCCCTTAATTAAATAAGCTAAAGTAAAAGCCAATAAATGAAATAAACAAAGGGGAAAACACAACACAGCAGCTCCCACGCTCACCGCAAAAAGCAAGTAATAAAGCAGAAAACATAGCAGTAAACATCACCGAAACAGACTCGTCCCCCACTTTCTCCATCTCCTCCCCTCTTCCTCCCACGAACAAGAAAGGAAAAAAATAAAATAAAAATAAAAGTAAAAACTAAAAAATAATAATAAAAGGAAAAAAAAAGTCTCACCCCCACCACTTAGCTCCATTCGTGCTCCAATGGCGACGCCGAAGTTGATCATCCTCACCACCCTCATCCTCCTCATCCATCAATCTATTGCGGACCCATCAGATGAATCCTGTTTATCCAGCCTCCACTCCTCGCTATCGGATCCGAACTCGAAGCTCCGAAACTGGACGAAGCCCAACTTCGCGAACCCCTGCAACGGGTTCACCTCCCTCATCGCGGGGGCCACCTGCAACAACGGGAGGATCTTCAAGCTGTCCCTCCCCTCCCTCTCCCTCTCGGGCAGCCTCCCCTCCCTCATCTCCAACTGCACCAACCTCCAGACCCTCGACCTCTCCGACAACCTCCTCTCGGGCCCCATCCCCGACCAAATCTCCCTCCTCCTCAACCTCGCCGTCCTCAACCTCTCCTCCAACCTCCTCTCCGGCCAGATCCCCCCTCAGCTTGCCCTCTGCTCCTACCTCAACGTCATCGACCTCCACTCCAACAGGCTATCCGGCCCCATTCCTGACCAGCTGGGGCTTTTGGTGAGGCTGTCGGCTTTCGACGTCTCCAACAATGAGCTGGAGGGCTCGATCCCGGTGAGCCTGGCGAACAGGAGCAACGGAGGTGGGCCCAGGTTTAACGCCAGCAGCTTCGTGGGGAACAGGGGCTTGTATGGGTTCCCGTTGGGGGAGATGAGGGGGAGGGGCCTGAGCGTGATGGCCATCGTTGGGATTGGGATTGGGAGCGGCCTGATCAGCCTTGTCATTAGCTTCACTGCTGT